CGTTGGCGATAGACGCGGTCTTTCCCTTTCTGGTAATATCGCGGACCGTAAGGAGGGGTCGAGGGGTCGAGGGTCCCGAGGTATGAGATATCTATTTGCAAGGATTTAGTGACAACATCGATCTTTTATATATAAATCCGGTAATATCCTGTATATCTTGTATCTCAGCAACACAGAAAGTATTCTACATCTATTCACATCTATTCACATCTATTCGCATCTATACAATATCCATATCTATCTATTTATATCTCCCATCTCAGTCTCGTCATACGCTACAATGAAGGACAACGGCACCCATCTCTACCCAAATGAGCATGTCTCCGAGAAGGTTACCGATTATGCCTTTGAGCACTCCACCAAGCTTCCAGACTATATCACCAAGCACCATGCTTGGGGTTCCGACCAACCAAAGGCGGGGTTCATGATCTCGCCCTTCCAGACCCAGTTCCAGATCTGGTTTGCAAAGGCACTCGGGGCCAAGAGAAGTATGCACGTCTAATATATCCTGTCGTACAACCTGGCGGATCTTGTATTTGGGCCGCACACTCTCTGTCCCACCAATCCGTAGTCTGTATTCCTCAGGCAGGAGCATACTTTGGCGTTGGTATCTTGATATTCCAATTTGACCGTCTTAAGAACGACAGTGCTAACTTATATCAGTACTCGAGATTGGTTGCTATATCGGCTTCTCAGCCCTTGGATTTTCTGAAGCAGTCGGCCCAGATGGTCACGTTACAACTCTCGAGTTTGACCCGGAATACGCCCAAATTGCACGTGAGACCTTCGAGAAGAATGGCGTGAAGAACGTCGAAGTTATTGTCGGCGATGCGAACAAGAGGTGATTTATTTACTTCTCCCATCTATAAATATAAAACGCCTTGGCTGACAACTTCTAGTATTCCTGAGCTGGCCCTGGCCATCGACCAGCCGTATGATCTGATCTTCATCGATGCAGACAAGATATCCTATCCCAATTATCTCTCTCTCGTACTTTCACTTTCAACATCCACTAGCAAAGTCCGCCTTCTCAAGTCTGGAGGTACAATTATGGCGGATAATATCCTCCGCCGTGGTGTTGTCGCTGATAGGAGCTCCTCAAACCCAAATGCCACCCCTGAAGAGCTTTCAACTGAAAAGGGGGGGAGAGCCGACCAGTTGGTCGCTCTGGATAGGTTCAACAAGGACCTTGTCGAGAGCGAGAGAATCGAGACCTTCTTGCTTCCACTGTTCGACGGGCTAGGAATGGGAAGGTTGAAGGATTAGTAAAGCTATGCGAATAGTTAGCACTGTAACCTGCCCATCTCAAGAAAAGATACGCTAGAAATATAGTTACATCTTTGTCTACCTCCCATTGGTGTCGTTCTCTAATTTAGTCATTTGCACTAAATCCAAATGTGATGCAGTCACAGTTATACATGAATTTCATCACTGACGCGTTGACAAATGTTCAAATGATAGCTTTAGACTACATGCTGAACTAAAGCGCCACACAAACAAGAGTGCCATCTATGGCTTCTAGGTCAACACACCCGAGAACAAGCTTGTACTCATTTTCTATGAGCTGCCAATCCGGCCATCCCAAGCCCTTGTATCAGCTTCACCCCTGAGCAATTCTCTTTGGACAGTTCCGAACAACGAACCAAGTCCTACCAACAATTATTGAGATACCTTGACACCATCTGCTCTCGGTATTGCCAGCATTTTTCCAAGTAATGGTGACGCTGAATCCTTCCCATGCGTGACTGTCTTCTCTCCAGATGATGGCCCTGGCTGGGATCAGTTGGTCAACTGCGAGCCATAGTTGTCGCAATGGCGAATCCAAGCAGTCCACCCGTTCTTTTCAGACCTTTCTACATTGTCCAAGACCGTGATAGGCTCAATAACTATTCGGATACGTTGTGACATTTTCTTCTGTGCGCTATTTAGATGACCCAAAGCCTTTAGTTGTTGCTTTCTTGCCTTTTCAAGCGTCTTGTCTTGGACCCTGCTGGCCTTGGTTTGGACCTTGTTGGCCTTGATTTCGGCCTTGTTAGGCTGTAGTGGTGTTCCAGCTACTTTGGCGTGTGCTACAACTTCTTCCCCAATAAAATCGATGGGCCCAGAATTTGCCTCTCTGGCCTCGATTCCCCATGTGTTGGATAAGTGGTCGACATGTCCTTCGTGGTATAGATCCATGAACTCCATGCCGAGGCCTTCCTCTGGTATGTCGACCCTCATAAGGAGACCTTTAGGGCGAAACAGATTATTCTGGGATGCTCGAACATATTCGAAAACCTTAGAAAGCGATTTTTGGAAGTCGAGTTTCTCGGATTTCCCGCTACGCCCACTAAACGGAAGGACTAGGCGAATCGGAGTCTTCTTCTTCTTCTTCTTACGTTGGGGGCTAATAAGTGAGGCCAGATGGGCTGTAAATTTATTCCAGTCTTCCTCGAGTATCTCATAAGCAGCCAGTCCGGGCGGATAAGGGAAGCCGTCGGTTATTCGACTCTGCGAAGGGACTTGAATACCAGTCTGGTATGGTTTGGTGGCGGATAATGGAATGATCGCTGAAGGGCGCGTGATTCTGGTGTGGATGTCTTCGGTAATAGGCAGTGCTACGGAATTTTCCTGCGCATAAGCTTCCCCAAGATACTCATTCGGGCGGAAGTTCTCTTCAACATCTGCAACGACAGGGGATGTTTCGATTTCTGAAGACTTCACTGCCTGCTTCGATATCTTAGCTGCAGGTGCTTCCAATGGCGTCAGTTCCACGGTCTTGGTCTCTTCCTTGTGTCTCACGACTGGGGTAACAGGGGTTTCTTGAATTCCGTCGATGGCACTTGGGATAGATGGTGCAGGCGCTGTTACTAGTACCGGTGCTGCGGTTGAACTTCTGGACAATTTGGAAGGGAAAGCAGTCCCAGTTTCGGGCTTTGGTGTGGCATTTCTCGTCATGATATGTACAACAGTGTCTGCTGCTTCTTGTTCTCCCGGTGAAGTGAAACGCGGTAGCGCTGCGTCGCTATCCTGTGCAGAGATTTAGTTTCATGGTCTCTTTGAATCTAGATTTGCTATACAACTGGCTGATATTCGGTGCCAGTGTGCATTACGTACCGAATGAGTATTTGGGTGGATAATAATGTGAACGGTCGACATTAGACCTATTCTCAGACCTGCGAGGAAGCAGGTTACTGTGTCTTTGGCCTTGTTCGTTGAGGAAATGGATTGTAAAGTTGCAACCTGCCAATGGCGATTTGAACAGGATACAGATAGTAATATAGTAATATAGGAGAGTTGTGCGTGAGATACTTAGGTATACGAGCTGCGTAATGAATGAAGATAAAGATCAAGACGAAGGAGAGTTGACTCGAGAATGGGAAAAAGAGGAAATAGGTTTGAAAGTTGCAGAAAGCACCATCAGTTGGCAGGCACGAATGGCTGGTCAACCATTGGACCTTCCTTCAAATTCTGATGGAAGTAGCTAACTAACTGCAGCACACACCGGTGAATTATTATTCGTTTCATGTGCCATCGAAATCATAAATCCCCCAAACTGCCATAATTACGACCCAGGACTCCTTCGCTATGTGAAATGACGCTGTACCCTCTCCCAACGATCTTTATCTTCTCTCCCTGTCCGGCCGTGCCCTGCTTCGGCTACGACTGCGATCGCTGCTGTAGCTGCTGTAACTCGAACTTCTCCTCCGAGTACCATTACCATTACGGTCTTCATTATCTCGCCTCCCACCGCGCCTCCTCGGGGATCTTGACCTGGATGAGTAGGTTCTGGAATGGCTCCTGCGCGGTCTTGGCGAACGAGACCTCGACAATGACCGTGGTCGATAAGTATCCGACGGAGCACCTCTGTTGTAATTTCTGTTTGGCGATCGACGCCTTGGTGGTGGTGGGCCTCGAGCATCCATTCGTGCTCGTGGTTCAATATTTGCGCCGCCCCGTCTTGCCAGTGGCGGTGCTGGTGAGAACTTGCGTCTCGGGATGACAATAGACACGCTTATCACAGCGCCATCCAATTGCGCCTCGTGCATGTGGGCAATGGCCTGGTCGGCATCGGCTTCAACCGCGTATAGAAGGTAAGCTGTGCCACGGTTTGTACCGACTGTACGGGTTAGAAGGGTCCTATTGGGAGCTGGCACAACTTACATTGTCTGTTCATGGGCATATCCATATCGATAATCTCGCCGAAGCTCCCGAATAGCTCTCTGAGGTGGTTCTCATTTATGTTCTTGGTGAGTCTCTCAACTACGATCTGGAACTGGTCAGTAACAACTTCGTTCGTAGCACGCGACAGCGCATTGTAGGGCGCAGATAAAAGTTAAGTGCGGATTTCATACCTTTGTGCTTTTCACAGCTGGACTTGGGCTGCGTGATATGCTCCTGGTGGCTCTGCGGCCTCCATTTCGATCATATGAGGGGGAGCGTGAGCGGCGGGGTGACATAGATCGCCGGTGCAGGGGTGGTGGAGAGCGAGAATTGTCCAGACGAGGTGAAAGAGAGCGCATGGGTTCGCGCCCACGAGATAAAGAACGCGGAGGCATCGCAGGTCAAAAACTGGATGGTTTTGGATGAGCTGCTTTGCAAAATAATTGGGGAATAGGGTCGCGCACGAGGATGGTGTGTTGAGGTTGTTTTGTGTGTTGTACATTCGGTGTTGTGTTCTGCCGATTGAATGCGATGTGAAGTTGACGGCGCGGCTGTGGATTGAGCCTTGGGGTTGAGTTGAACTGAACGCGTCAGAAACGCCAAGCTCCATGAGCACACAGATTTAATTGCTCGCTTATCTGGGACTACTCCACCATGATGACGCGGGACAAAAAATAAGGATTGCTGATGAATTCAAGCCCAATTCATGCTTGGAATAAAACGAGAACGACTGTCTGCGTCAATTAGATCAGGTCGTTGCATTGATTGATAGTCACCTGGCTCAGGCTAACAAACAAAAAACAAAAACAAATCCTCAAATGGCAAAAAGAATTAGCTCCGTTTTGGAGTTGGTCACGTGCCCACATACAGAGTTGAACTGCAGACCTCGGCATGTTTAGATCACGTGATCGTGATTAGATACTAGTGCCGCGCTCTACCAACTGAGCTATGGGGGCTGATTGTTATAATGGACACCCAAAGTATGACTCTTAAGCATCATACGAAATATACTTTCATCGTACCCAATAGACTTCAGCGACAACTAGACAACTAGCAATGGCATTTGTAAATCCCATGCTTCGGCTACAGGGCCATAAACTTGATTTCGAACTTTAAACACCATTGTCAGTCACCCTGCCTGTTTTTCATTCTTTGACCTCTATATCCTTCTAGTTCTTCTATCGAACTTCACTCCTCATTACCTCTCCCAATCCATCTCTATCATTATCACGGAGATCTAGATCCCGAATCGGGCTGACTAAAAGGTACAAAGGCATGATTCGCACGTGATAAAGCCATAGCTGAACCGCGAAGCCAACAATGAATTGAGCTGAGCTGAGCTTCTGGTGTGTGAAAGTTTGGGACCAGCATGTGGCGCATACCATTTGTGTCGAGGCTCAACCTGTAAGTCTTCTGGCTGTGGAGGAAATCGGTGAACAAGCGCTGATAAGGGGGACAGGAGCGAGTATGTAGCACTCGTTGTCTCCTTCGTTCTGGTTGGGCTAGAAGCACTTATTCGAGTCCTCACTCTTGCGCTGCGTAGGATACCTAACCAAGCATTCCTGTACAAGTCCTCAATGGCTAATGTTTTATAGCCACGAGTATAATAACCCTGTGCTATCGAGCGTCGAAACGACTATTCCACTATTCTACATCCACAGCAGCAAAGAAGTCGGTATCCAGGCAAAGCTGCATGTACCCCATACCCCCTTGGTAATTATAAGACTGACATTATTACTACAGCCCGGTCGAGCGCCATCCGTGATGCTTCCGATTTTGTCGACTTATGCGCACTGTCAGGCTACCTGGCGGAAGAGCATGTGGTGCAGACTTCAGATGGATACTTGCTTGGGCTCCACAGACTCGGCTGGAAACGAGGAGAGGAGGGTGTCAAGGTCAATTCCTCAAAAGGCGGCATAAAAAAACCCGTGGTATATTTACATCATGGGCTGCTTATGAATAGCGAGGTATGGGTGTGTCTGACCGACGAAGAACGCTGTCTGCCATTCCACCTTGTGGAAAAGGGGTACGATGTTTGGGTATGTGTATCCTACTTGTTGACATTGGGATTTACTGACCATTTATAGTTTGGAAACAACCGTGGGAACAAATATTCCAAGAAATCCATCCATCACCCTCCGACAGCAATGGCATTTTGGGATTTCTCAATGGACGAATTTGCTTTTCATGACATCCCAGATAGTATCGACTACATCCTCTCTACGACCTACCAACCGTCGCTGTCATATATTGGATTCTCGCAAGGCACAGCACAGGCTTTTGCAACACTGTCTATACACCCAAAATTGAACGACAAAGTCAACGTATTCATAGCGCTCGCACCGGCGATGTCCCCAGCAGGATTAAGGAACGGCGTCGTGGACTCGCTGATGAAAGCTTCTCCCGAGGTTCTGTTCCTCCTTTTTGGCCGTCGCTCCATCCTGAGCTCGACGACAATGTGGCAGTCTATCCTGTACCCTCCAATATTTGTGCGTGCCATCGACACCTCCCTGGCCTTCCTTTTCGGCTGGTACGGCAAAAACATCTCAATGGCTCAGAAGCTCGCAGCCTACCCCCATCTCTACTCGTTCACCAGCACCAAGAGTGTCGTCCACTGGTTCCAAATCATCCGCACCGCCTCCTTCCAGCTCTACGACGACGATGTCCAACCTCCACTCCGCCTCGGCAGCGTCAGCAAATATACCAAGGTTGCCCGCTTCCCAACCCGCAACATTAAGACCCCCGTCGTCCTCGTCTATGGCGGCTCCGACTCCTTAGTTGACATTAACGTCATGCTGAAGCAGCTCCCCGCCTACACAGTGGCCACCGAAATCCCGCACTTCGAGCACCTCGATCTCCTGTGGGCCCGCGATGTCGACACTCTCGTCTTCCCGCACGTCATAGACGCCCTCGAGAGTTTCTCTGACTCAGGGCATACTGAAGAGCACTTCGCCAAGTACCGTGCCGCGCGCCATGCCTCCCTCGGGCCGGGAGCGCGGCGCCCTCATAACCCAACAGAGTCGGCCTCCAAGTCTCTGGGCAGCAGCTATGCTGATGTAGCAGCCGTTACCCCCGACATTGACGACGACAATCTTGTCTCGGATGGACCGCGTCGGAATACCGAGGGCGCGATGCCTTCTCTTGCAAGTCGTAGGAAGATAAGGGGGCGTACGGGGAGCGAGAGGATTGAATACGACTCAACCTCGTCGTCTGAGATTGCACATGTCACAACTGCCCGGGCCATGGAAGATGAGAAGTGAGGTGGTAAAGGTGTGAGTGCGTGGGGATACATATGAGATCAATCCGATCGATCGCTTGTATATTTGGATAAGATACATGTATAGTTATATATATATATTTGTTAGATATTGTTTCCCAATAGCAGGAGCGTGATCTGGAACGTGCTTCTAGATTAGAGGGCCGGGGACCAGTTTGACGATTAATGAATTAATGAATTAATGAAGACTATGCACGATGGATGGCAACATTTTAGATCCCCCACGTGCGTTCATGGCACATGTCTACTCCATGTCTCGCGGCAACGGTACTAGTCGGACCCTTCGAGTCTTGTCGTCGTCGTGTTGTCTCATCGTCGTGTCAGTATCGTCGGTCTCCCCGTTTCTGATCTGTGTCTAATCGTCATCGACGTCATCTGACCATGAAATCCAACGCCGTCAACGCCGTCAACCATCATCCCGCAGATCCCACAGATCCCACAGATCCCACAGATCCCACAGATCCCACAGATCCCACAGCGATCAGTCCTAAAGTACTACTTTAGTATACCCGATGAGCAAATCCATCCGCCCAAATCCCCCCAAAACGACCCAACGATCGATTCCCTGATGAGTCTCACTGGCTCAACGGATGCATGTATAGTAAGAGTAAGTAGTATGGTCCATACTACCACTCCCACTCTATTCCATATGCACGCGTACTACATAACTGCCACTTTTACCTTTTACTAGACTTATGCACTGTAACGATGTAACCGCTTCTCTCCATTTCCCCATTCCCCCCCATTTCCCCAAACATCGTCTTTCCAACTACCAACATACCTACCCTACCCGCTCGGCTCGGTCTCTTACTCGGTCCTCCTATATTTCCCCCACCATCCCTCTCCTCTCTCTCTCTCTCTCACACACACACACACACTGCTATACTCCCCTCCATTATTATCGCTCGCGATATACAGTTATACAGATGGCTTCCTATTCTCTTCCTCCCTGATGATCCACAGAGTATTCCTCTACTCTACGAAGCATACACTTTGGATTCACACTGCGGGTCAACAAATCCACTCTTCAGAAACCTTTCCCACCCCTAACCCAGAACCACTAAAAAATCCCAATTCTACGACTTGCCCCACCGATACCGACACCACAGACACCACCAACCCCACCAAAACTGCGAGTCTTTTACAGGTCATATTCCTTGTCGCTGCTAATCGACCCTCACTAACTCAACCTCGACGTTGTTGCCACGATTATGGCTGCGGCCGCGATCACACAAACTGGCGCCCGCTTCCCTGGCATCGCCGCTCTCTTCGAGAAATCTTCCATCTCCTCGAGCAACTCGGTCGATGCAAGCCGCAAAAAGGACGCCGTCGCCAACATGTTCTTGTCCAATGCGGCCACTCGCAGCCCGCCCGGCGATCTGACCAAGGGTTTAGTGGAGAAGCATCTCGGTGGTAGTTCCAAGACGCTGCGTCTTCAGGACTTCAAGTTGTTGAGGATCCTTGGGACTGGGACATTCGCGCGGGTTTGGCTGGTCAAACTCGCGCACCCAATGCAGGGAGCCGAGGATCGGGTGTTCGCATTGAAGGTCCTACGGAAAACTGAGGGTGAGCAGCGCTTCAGCGCCTCCTTTGCGGGGTCTCACGTCGGACGACGCTGACATTGTGCAACAGTAATCAAGCTCAAGCAAGTCGATCATGTCAACCACGAACGGGCCATCCTAGCTGATGTTGCCGGCTATCCCTTTATAACTACATTAATTACCACATTTGCGGACTCGGAATGCCTATACATGCTTGTAAGCTGCTATGCCCAGGTCGCACCAATACCCACATATCGCTAACTCTCTTCCTCCCCAGCTGGATTACTGCCCTGGCGGCGAAATATTCAGCTACCTGCGACGCCAGCGCCGCTTCCCCGAACACGTCTCACGCTTCTACCTCGCCGAGATCGTCCTAATCCTCGAGTTCCTGCACGAGCGCGAGGGTGTCGCCTACCGCGACCTCAAGCCCGAGAACATCCTCCTCGACGCCGCGGGACACGTCAAGCTCGTCGATTTCGGCTTCGCGAAGCGCGTGCGCGATAGTACGCCCTCCTTTCCTTACCGTCCTATTCTCTCTTCCTCAAAACGGGTCATGCGGCGGTTGACCCGAAGCACGGTGGACGCGGATACTTATTATGGTGGTGGGTTGGCGCAGTCGGCGCTCGGATGGCTATATAGTCGTAGTGTTGTCGCCAACAGCTGCTAACCTGTGGAAATAGGGGAAACATACACACTCTGCGGAACTCCCGAGTACCTCGCCCCCGAAGTCATCCAGTCCCAGGGCCACTCGACCGCCGTTGACTGGTGGGCCCTCGGCATCCTGATGTACGAGTTCATCACTGGGTATCCGCCCTTCTGGCACCAAAACCCAATGGAGATATACAAGCAGTGCGCATTTCTCTACATCCCCCCCCTGTATCACCACGCTAACCAGCATCAGGATAATCCACAAATCCATCACCTTCCCCCCGCACAACCCCCCCATCTCGAGCGACGCCCAGGATCTCATCCTCGCCCTCTGCACAGTCGACCGCTCGCACCGCCTCGGCAACCTCTCGGGCGGCGCCGCGGACGTGAAGTCGCACCCCTTCTTCGCGTCCGTGAACTGGGACGACGTGTACGCGCGCCGCCACGACGGGCCTATCATCCCCAAGCTGAGCGGCGCGAGCGACGATAG